GAGCATCGCTAAAGAATAAAGTCAAGCAGCAGTCCGCTCGCAATTCTTTCGCAATATTAAACCGTTAGCCCGTCGCAGAAGACAACGACGGAACCGTCCGGCATCGTTACGTACAACTGTCACTAGGACCCGTTAATTTCACGAGCATGTTGCCAGGGCCACGCGGCCCGGAAAAACCTTTAAGCCAGCGGAAACACTGGGGATCGTTTCTGCTCGATTGCCGTTCAACAGCGACGATATCCTCTTTACCGCCCATAAAAGAGCCTCCATTGTTGGTTGCCTGGAAATCAGCCGGGATTATCGAATGAGAAAGAGAAGCCCGAACTTCGTTCTAGGGTTTCGCTTTTTCGATGGTCTTCCGATATTTAATTCTCTCCTGCACTTGCAGACATGGGAATAGTTGTTTGGAATGTTTGTGTTGAAATTGGGACCACCTAATTGAAATATTTGCGATGGTGGATAGAAAATGATTAAATGTTTGTGTAATATATAAATTTTTAATTAGAAGGTATTTACATTTTTTCTGTTAGCAAATAGGAATTGGTATATAGTAGAGTTATTTTTATTGGGTAAGGGTTGAAAATATGTTTTAAATGAATGTCATTACAATATTATAGTTATATAAAACTATATTTTACATAAAACTATATATATTTCATACCCTGTAACTTTTGTCTGACACATTCGTTTGCATCACTGATACTTTTCGAGATAATTTTTTTAAAACTATTTTTTCTCGGAAACTATTTGAGAATTGGATCCATCTTCATTGGGATTTTTTTACTGAGTTTAATGAGTTGTACACACGCTATCATTCCTGCGCAACAATTTAGTTACACCCTGTATATATACAAAGAATTATAATATTATTTTTAAATTTAATTATTATATTATTATTATACATAATATATATACATCGAAATAAGACAAAAGCTTAAGAAGTCGATCAACTGTATTTGTTTCTGTAAGAGCTTGTCGCGAGAACAATATCCTCCTCTGGAAAAATTCTTTTGTAACTGCTCGTCATTTCTGTTCTACACCTGTAGTTGTTTACTCCGATTTTCAACGCTGTCAGTCGCAGAAAGGATAAGAAAAACTTCACAAATGTTTTCGAAGTGAAATATCTTTGAAGGAATAAAGTTTGAGATCAGATAATTTATTATAATTTTGTTGTAATTTGTCTAAAGAAATTTATTTCGTATTAAATAATAATATTGTGTAATCACTTCACTGTAACAATCCGTTTAATATGAAAATCGTATGATTATTCGCAGATTTGTATTATAGGGGTAGTGGTACTATGTGCCTGACTATATGTCGATCGATCTACTGCAAGTATTCCTGAATAATCATGCAGGCAAATGAACTGCATAAATTGTTATATGGATATGTTAATCTTCCATATAGAGTCCGTCAGAAATGATTTAACATAATGTTTCAATAAACAGCCAATATCGCCAATTAACAAAAAATTATCAGTTGCAAATAAGAACACATATAAACTAATAATTCAAAACTCATATCAGAATTAATATTATTATATTAACCATACGCATTATTCTCCATTAAAACTCCATACACGATAAATACACCAAACAATATTATTAATTCATTTAATTGACATTATTTTAAATATTGTACCACTCAATATTCTGTCCATTTATTACTAATCACTCTTCCATATTTCTCGAAAGTCACATGAAACACACAAATAGAATAAAATGGTAGAGAAATTGCATTCATTCCAGTAATTATGAAATTCCAAACAAAAATTGTATTTTATTCTATAATAAACGTAAATTAATTATTCACATAAATTCCTACTTTTCAGTTTGTTCAAGCATCGTTTTACTTTATAATCATTTATAAATAACCCTTACAACAAACTATTACTTTCTGTTTCCTATAAAATTATTTATTAATTACTTATTTAATTTTCTACTTTTCAATTTGTTCGAAACACCGTTTTAACATTACGTTTATTACAATGTTATTCGTGGAATATTCGTAGATAACCTCTACGACGATCGTGCCGTTACTTTCTTGTTGTCTGACCATGATTCGACGTATCTACTGCGTGCACGTTCTTTCGAGGCATGAGCACAATCGGTCTAAGCCAGGTGTAAGCCGCTTCTATATTTCCTGTTACTTGTACCCCGGCACACGCAAAAACCCGGTCGGCTTACGGTTGATACCATCCAAACAGGCAAATATAAACCGCAAACTGATTCCCAGCAAAGGTAACCCCGTTCGAAAAAAATGGCTCGAGTTTAATGCACTGGCAATAGCTGCAACTGTTACGCCTTTGTGGTGTCAGACACCTTAAACTCTTCCCTCTTAACCGCGTTCACTTTAACGGCCCGCTGAACTATGTTCATCATTGCAAAATATTGTATTCATTTCGTACATATCATTCTATCGTCCCATAAACAATAGGGTCTTTTCTAATTCTTCTATTTTTGAAAATTAAGATAAACGAAAGTTTATTGAAATTAAAATATATTCTCCATTATTATTAATGGATGATATATGAAGGAGGATGTGTTTTATATTTACTAAAATTTATTTTAATTTTTTTAAATAAAAGAAATTTAATAACTGCGTTATTTAGGGAGTGGTACAATATTTTGTATTAATCTCTTGCTGTGTTATTGACTGATAAGCGTGATTTATTTTACTGATAAGCCTTTCAGGGTGGGTAATTTTTTAGTAATATTCACTTCACCTATAAAATAATAATACATTAGTTAAATGTAGAAAAAATATTGATAAGTTTTTGAATAAAATAGGAAATGCAGTTTAAAGTAGTATATTAAGTATAATAAATAGAAATTAATACAAATTTATTTTTAAATATGAATGAAAACACAAGGTTAAAGTAATATTGTTAGGATATTGATTTTTACTAAATTAACCGAATCATTCGTATCAGTCTCGCTCGTCATTATATGGCAACGGGTTAATGTTAACCATGGAACGCTCTTGATATAACGTCATAAAAATCTTTTCGTTTAATTCGATTCCATTTATAGATAAATTTACTGTTATACGAGATTACAGTTGTATTTCGTTTAATAGATACGCTTCTAACTGAGACTCCGGAAATATCGTTTGAATAATTTATAGACACTTTCAACGGATATCGAATTTGTTGAATGTGTATTTTAAATGCTTCGAACACAGCGTGCATTAATAATCAATGAAATTGGAAATGTGACAGATTATTATTGACATACTATTATTATGTCTGATATTAGTTCCGATACAAATCTCAAAATCAATATTGAATGATTCTATCATAAAATAATGTCGGGAATCTTGCAGCTGGAGTGTGCCAAATAAAATGTTATATTTTTAAACAAATATAATTCATCTATAGAAATCTACTTCGTTTTTACTGCCAACGAAACTCTTCTCGATAAAAACATTCAATAAAAAATAATTCATTAATAAAAGTAAATTTCTCTTCTTAATCTTTTAAAACCCTTCCATTTTTAAACCGATGTAGTTTATTGACAGAAGTAAACTTTTCTTTTTATTAAACAATTTCCGATTTGCTTCCTGTTAAAATAGAAATTCATGTAAACTTCTACAATCCATAAATAATGAACGATTTCTGTTTGAGAGCATTTTAGTTGAATTTAATTTTATGATTCAAACTACACCTGACCCTCCATTTACGCGAAAATCCTGTCGGTACAAGGGAAAACAAACTATTGGAAAGAAAAGCACTTATACGTTTTACAAATACATATTTATTCCACGTAGCTTAACAAAAAAATAATAATAATGATACTTCACAAAACAAAAATACATTTAATCATATCTTATCAACATTAAATTTATTAAGCAATACGTCACATAGCTTAACAAACAAATAACAATAATAACATTTCACAAAACAAAAATACATTTCATTCGGTGTTACTGAATTCATATACACACAGATACTCGTGGATCGACGAAGTTGCTTGTTTACGAAGCATATTATCAACATTAAATTTATCAAGCAATACGTCACATAGCTTAACAAACAAATAATACTAATAATGATATTTCAAAAAGCTTCGGTACATTTTATTCGGTGTTTCTAAATTCAGATGCACACAGATCCTTATACCGACTCGTGGATAGAGGAACTTGCTTGTTTACAAAGCATATTATCAACGTTAAGTTTATTAGACGATACGCCGATGGCGTGGCGAATCGAACGGCCTCACGGAATCTTGGCCTGCAGGGATCTCAGAAATGTGTGTACACCTCTAGACCGTTTATTCTGCCAACACAGTGGTTTCTAATCGTATTACCGTATTTTGACCCCTATCGTTCCGCCGGTATCTCTCCTCCATAATCCGTATCCTCCGTTCGATGATGGGATTAAGACATTAATACCGAGCCATCGAATTTATAGTCAGGCGAGATCTTTATTGGGGAGTTACGAACGCGGTAAACTTGTTTCCAATTTCGTTTCGTTTTAGTTTGTGCGATGAAACGTGTTAAATTTGAATACGTTTTAAAATTAATTTGAATTTCAAATACTTCAATCATCGTGAAATATGGTACTTATATTTTGCTTCTATTAACACTAGATTCACGGAGGTTTATTCTAAATTTTATTTTATTGTTTCTAGAAAACTACATGTTCGTCTATATAAATCGCGAAAATTATAACTTCAAAACCAGACTATCGCAATGCGTATTCGCATAATTGCACGAATCAAAATCGACTTAAACTGATACTAAGTAAATAATTAAAAAATGCAATATCCGTCAAATTGACGGGTTCCGTAAAATAAGAATAATATAGTTTTGGACTAACGTATCTAATAATCTTAATTTAGATAATATAAATTTAAATATTGGATTCTACAGAATAAGATGTTATATATAAATAAAGTTTGCACTTTATTTTATTTGATTTTTATGAAAGGAATAATTACAATGGATTTTTTGAAGTACATACTTTGTTACTTACGTTTTTATACATTGTTTTGTTACAGGTGCAAAGAACCAGGAAGATATTTAAAGGATCTTCCACCCACAGCAGTAATTATATGCTTCCACAACGAAGCGTGGTCAGTATTATTAAGGACAGTTCATTCCGTGTTGGACAGATCGCCGGAACATTTAATACAAGAAATCATCTTGGTAGATGACTTCTCCGATATGCGTAAGTAAATCAAATACACAGATTGCAAATACTATTTCTTTGTCACTGTATTTTGAGTTACATCTTTCTCATATTTTTCTATTACATTATCGACAACTTTCTCTGTAATCGAATTACAAATTATAATTATTGTAAATTACACAATAACACAATAATTCAATTTACTCAGAATTTCATACTTGCAACGTATCACTTTCCTAAAACCTATAATTCCAGCACACGATTTTCTCTCAACGTCATAGTAGCATTTTCATCCCTTAGCACTAGAACTACCAAAACAATCAAACCGACTTTCCAAAATGTTCGTATAGAAACTCCAAGAGTGCATCGAAATTTCAATCAATTCAAAACTCAGTTCGTATATTATTGAATCAATTTCTTTAGTAATTCTTCAGAGAAGCTTCTGTTGTCCGTTTAATAACTATAAAAACAAGAAAACAGGAATGAGCTTATTTTGACCCAAGCATTTAATGTGATTAATATGTAATTCTCATTAAAGTTCTAACAATAAATTTCTTTCTTCATATACCAATTATAATATTCAAGTGAAGCAATTTACTTCTCACCACATTTCAAATATTTAATACATATGAGGTATCAATAATTGCGAAGTAAGAAACCTGAAACCCACCATTTCGATTCGTTCAGTAGCTCTAGTGTTAACACTAAATCTACCGAGCAGTTAAATTGACTTTTTCTAATTTCTCTAGAAACTCCAAGACTGCACCTACCGAGACTTTAATTGATTTACAATTCAGTTTGCGTATTACTAAATCAATTCCTGTAATAATTTCTCAAAGAAACATTCCTTTTCTCTTCAATAATTACAAAAAGAAGATATCAGGAATAGATCGTTTCGATTCGTCCAGTAGTTCTAGTGTTAAAAATCCTACGATCGTATCAACTTAGAAAAAACTGCATTTGCCGGATCAAGGATCGACGTTGGCCGAGTTCAAATGGAAGACTTTCGTTATGCGGTAATAGTTGCTCGGCCGAGCAAGCGTGTCCCTATTCAACCCGGTGATTCGTTATCGCGCCGGTGTTCCGTAGCTCCGCGATAGATCGATTAATCGCGATCCATCTCCGGCGTGTGTGGCGCGGGGTCCGCGAGCACCGTAACGATCGGGTCAACGTGAATAGAAGGGAAAGCTTTTGCAGACATGTTTCGCGTGTACTCGGGAAATTCCGACAGGTTGATACATGCCAACGACGCCGACATGTTGATACCTTTCCACGGACTTCCGGTCGCGATCGAACGAACGAACGGAGAGTCAGATTTGCCTGCGTTTGACGCGCGAGCCTCAACATCCAGGGAAGTTTGGCGATCAATTTTTTTGCTCCATTATAGAACGGATAATCGTGTGAACATTTCTGATTTTCCGTGGAATATTTTATAGATGCCATTAGGATAATGTGATTTTGTGGATTTTATTGTGTTTGCATCTACGTTAATTGGAACTGTCGGAGGTTATATTCATCATTGGGATTGGTGAACAATTTGAGTAATATAATTGTAGTTGATAAATTGTTACTAGATAGTGTAATTGATAAAAAATGGAGTTGTATTTTAATCAGAAGGAATGTATTTAACAATGTATTTAATAATGTATTTAATAATGTATTTAATAAGATTTTCTGTAAATGCATGGAAATTAATAATACGCTTGAGCGTTTCAAACTGCTGTGTTGTAGAATCTATACATTCGAATATTGCTTTTTCAATTAAACATTTTAATTTGATTTAAAATGTTGTATATATTCGAATCTTTGTAATTTTATTTGCAGTTCAACAACTTTTAAATGATTCTAATTATTAATCACAGTATAAGAACGTTTATAATTTCTGAGATGAAAATAAAAATGATCTTCCCAGACGTAAAAATACAATTAAAACAGAAAACTTCTCTTAACTTCAACGCTAAATATCCCGGAACCCTGTTAGATATCACCACTCGGACAAGATTAAAACTTTGAGGATTAAGGTACCGCGCTGTAGAACTTGTACTATATTGTAACGCGAACTTCGCAGTGTCTAATCAAATTAACTACAAATTCTGAACCTCTTCCGATATAGTCAGACTATATTCTTCAATGAAATATACAAGTCCAATCCTACTAACTCGTTTCCATGAAATTCGTATGCTAAAGTCTGAATTTATTGCTATCTTTAAAGACAAATTTCTCTTCATTAATATAATTTGGTTTCAATCAATTATATGAAGATTTCATTTAAACTTCATCACACTACACCCTGACCACTTCATTTACCAATTTCCTACCTAATCAGTATATTAATACTTCACACCCTTCACTTATTTACCAAAACACAAACTTCACATTCAAAAAAGAAACACAATCTGTATTCGTCTAATAAACTTTTCAATAAATTTAATAGAAACTACGTACTAGAAGCTTTCAGTTGCATAAATTCATCTGAAATATAATGCACGAAGTTGATGATTATCACGTTAACTGCCACGAGAATTTCGAGCGTTTTGTTATAGTAAGATTTAATCCTTTATAATAAAATAGTGTTAGAAATAATTATTAATGTTTTAGTATTACAGTACTCATGTTACACTATTATCTAGCTTCTTGTGTTACTAAACATTTCGATTCAATATCAATTTTCTTACTGCAATTGTTTTCACGAAATTTGAGAGCTCCGGTCACCGATAACCACCGTGGCGTTCAACGTGTTAATTTAAGGAAACATTTCTCACTCGAATCGCGCCGGACTGTGTCGTGTTAATAAATAATTGAACTAAATTATTTCGACGACTGGTCGGCAGTGACGCGAAAGGACTAAGCTTTCGTATCGTTAATGGCGTTCAGACTTTATTAATACACCCGGGGATCGAGGGGGCAGATAACCGGCGGGAGTCGCGTGTAACGAAGGGTGAAGAAAAATAAAAATCGCGACGGAAAGACCCGGCGAGATTAACCCGTGACAGAGGGATAGGGGATGGTGTGGCGGAGGTAACATGGCGTGGAGCCCGTGAAAATCCCCTTAAAAGCTCGAGATAAGCTTCCGCGTCGGGCGGAAGTGCGGCTCATAAACATGGGTACCAACACCATAGACAACACGTGGCGTGTCCCATTACAAGCCGACTGATTGTTTTATCATAGGAACGACGCAATAAGCTCCTCCCTAACCTTTTTCGTGTCTACTCCCATTTTGTTTTATTGTGAGCTGCACGAAAATATCCGACACACCCTCTTTTATGAACGTATTAACCCTCTACGGTGTAACGCCATGGCACTGGCGAGTTCGAGGTTGGATATATAAAATAGTTGGACATCTAAGATGTTTAATAGTTAATAGTTTGATATTTAGAATAGTGTCGTGTGTACTATATTTAATAACTAATAGTTTGGTATTTAAAGTAGTTTTATATGTAACATTCTTAACAATTAATAGTTTGATATCTAAAATAGTTTCATGTGTAACATATTTAATAATTAATAGTTTGACATCTGAAATAGTATTATGTGTATCATATTTAACAATTAATAGTTTGATGTCTAAAACAGTTTCGGATTTGTTAACGAGAATTCGTCAAATATTGATAAAGATTTATATATAATCGGATCAAACACTCCAGATAGAATATTTGCATTCGTTCGTAGATAAAACCGTTGTATAAATAAAATATTAATATGGGAACGAAGCCACCGATAAATATCAATTATTTACTTTTAATTACTTGGTAATTGAGTGGAAAATGAGAGGTTTGATGGAATATATAATTAAATTGTTTTCTTTTCTCTCGTGTCCGCATTTTCCCTGATCTATAATATACAATATTTTTTACCCACATTATTTTTCAGTGAAAGAACTCTAGTACAATATTATTTTATCATAACATATTATACCTGTTGTATTTTAAGCCGCAGAAAACTTTTACATTCGAATAAAATATTTTACTTTATACTTTTTAAATTATGAAATAAATGTTCTCATATTTAAATAAAATATTTTACCTTGTAGTTGTCTAACAAAGGAGTTTAGATTATGGTGGTTATTATGATAATTATATACATCATGTAATCTATGAAATTTAATACATTATATTTTAAAGCTATAAATACTTCGTGGCAAAATACCTGCACATAATGATCATTCGCATTACAAGTGTTAAGTTTCATTTATAGGCTGCGATCGAGCAGTTCGCAAACAATTCCAACTGTTTGATGCTCCGTAATAAATGAACGGAATGCTTCACTTCGAAAACCCGTAATTAATTTTGCAATACCGGATTCGGTACAATTACGTGAATGCTTGTGCTACAGGAATTTATTAGGAGTTAAATGCCATTACATTTGCTGGAAGTGTACGAACAGAAAACATTATTCTTTACCGCAATCTCGTTATTATTTAACAATTTCAACAGTTTATATTTTATTTACAATAAAATTTTTATAAAATTTTCGGAAACCAAAGAAAACAACTGATGCATTTCCTTGCATTAAATATTTGTTCGTTACGCCTCCAAGAGAAATAATTTATAAACGTATAAAGTGTTCGAAAAGATATTAATTTGAATTACCAATTAGTAATATCTTCCAGAATTTTAATCATTATTTTATGTCATGGGAATTGTACAAAAGGTATTGTAACAATTCGAGTGATGGGTATTTTAACAGGAACGGCCGATTTAAAAAAAAAATATGTTCCCATTGAAAGGAATAAATAATATCAAATGTATATTTTAACGAATTTTCGTTTTTTTCCCTCTCGTATCGATAGATTTACACGATTAAAAGCCGGCGTGTTTTATTCGAAACCGTCCTTTGCCCGAATTGAAACATTTATATCTGGTATAATTACGTTCGGCTCGCACGAAAGAATTAGTAATTGACAAATAGTGTTTAACGATCCTGAACATGACGCTGAGCGTCGCGTGAAACGTCGATGTACCGGTTCAGACATCGAATTTTAATTAAATTGTTCCGCGCAGCGTTCTCTTTGGTGTATTCGATAACGTGTTTTTAATGAATTTTTGTGTCAAACGCGTTATTAAAAGGGTGCCGAACAAAAGAGGTCAGTGACTGTTGGAGAAATCGAAAAAAATATATATATACACATAAACACAGACCATGGAGTGTGTCACATCGTCGATTTCACCAAAATGATACGTATGTCATCCGAGGGTCGTCATTATGCTCGTTAACAACGTCCACCGTTGAAATCCTTTATATTATCCGTAATTAAAGTAAGCCCCATAAATGAGGACACGTTATATAAGCGTCTCGTCCTGTTTCAGCGTGGAATAAATCACCTATGATCACTAATTGTTATTATCCTCGGTGTGATCTTTAATCATGATTTGCTGTGCGCCTGAAATTATTAGATACGTGACACTTTTACTTTAATAAATGCAAGAAGCGATGTTTATTTCGCGTTAGTTTGCGGAAGGATTGGCTTTGAAGTAAAGATAATATAAGTTGTTACACGTAAGTTATTTTACATCGTCAGTAGACTGCAAAGTATCTTTGAAAGTAGATATACATTTATATAGGCATGTTGGAAGACATGGGAAATCTCATTAAACTTTATTCAAGTTTTCATCCCACTCAATCTCGCGATCAAATGATAAGTTATATTACAAGCATATAAAGCTCGTATTAATATTTATATCTCGTTGTACACCAGCGACTCATTATGAACTTATCTATCCATCAGTGTCTATTAATTTCTCTACTATATTAAAATATTCATCTAAATTTTGTTTATTTATATACTAAAAATCTCATAATGATTTATTAAAATGTCCATCCTCCAAAATTTTGGATAAACAGTTATGTTATATGCATACAAAATCCACATTATTATTTATCACTGACGTTATCGTATGAAGACACATATCGATAACTGCACTCATTAATCGTCAATCTCTATTACAATATTTATTCTGTTATCCTTTTAATTTCTATTCAATATTTCTATTACTCTTTATTCAATACTTATTCCAATATTTAATCTGCTATTTATATCTAATTACCTAATATCTTATTATTTATTCAACACTTAATATTTAATCATTTCAAAATTCAAACTTTATACAATATTTCTATTACTCTTTATTCAATACTTATTCCAATATTTAATCTGCTATTTATATCTAATTACCTAATATCTTATTATTTATTCAACACTTAACACTTAGTCACTTCAAAATTCAATCTTCATTTAATATTTCTTTCACTATTCGATACTTATTCTAATATTTAATCTACCATCAATATCTAATTAACTAACACCATTTTTTATTCAATACTTAATATTCAATCATCTCAATATACAATCTTTGTTATAATAATCATTCCAATCTTGAATCTAATATTAATATTTAATTATCCTAATATTCAATTCCTATTACAACGTTTATTCTAATGCTTAATCACTCGAACATATTTGTTCGCAGCCCATCTCCAGCGCCAGCTCGAGGACTACATGATGAACTATCCGAAGGTGCAGATCATTAGGGCGCAAAAACGCGAGGGTCTTATTAGAGCGCGTTTACTCGGCGCGGCAGCCGCGAAGGCTCCCGTGCTCACATATTTGGACAGCCATTGCGAGTGCACCGAGGGATGGTTGGAACCACTCCTCGATCGTATTGCCAGAGACTCGACGACAGTCGTCTGTCCCGTGATCGACGTTATTGACGACACCACACTCGAATATCACTGGCGGGATTCGGGTGGCGTGAACGTGGGCGGTTTCGATTGGAATCTCCAGGTATGCGAAATTCTCTCCATTATTATCAGTCGTTATCAGAAAATAATTTAGTACTTCGATGTGGTTTATCCCGAGAACGTACACAGCTAAATCATTCAATATTGTAATAGATCCAATTTCAAAATAATTTTTTACAGAAATATTTTCAACTCTTCATTCTATAATATGGAGTAAAATTTGTGGTAATGATTTCAAATTAGTGTATATAACACAAATATTATTAATTTTCTTGCAGTCGAAATGTAATTTCAGTTTTCCAAGGCAGTATTTATTATTTGCATAATATTGACCCTTATACGTTAATTTTATACTAGGTTAATATTTATACTTTTTAAAATGTTTTAAGTAAAATTTGGATTTATTATTGTAATAGAAATTATGCAGTACGTTAATTAGTTAAATTGTTTTCTAATTATATAGTGTTCAGATATTTCTTGCATAACTGTCCAAAAAGATTTTAATGACACGCCTGATACTTCTACAGTGATTACCTCATAAATTCATTCTACTTTAATCCCTGTACTTTGTTCGAACATCAATCCATTAACGTCAATAACTGAAATTTCTAATAAGTTCAGTAGAAACCTTGTCATCATTAACGTGAACATTTTTTCTTTAATTAATATGGTGAATTTTCCTCTCGAAGAAGTTTTTAATAATGTACACATTAAAATACGCGAGGAGAGGAAACTTACAGAGTTGCCGTAAGTGAAATTAAGTAAAAATGTTTTATTCAGCAGTAAAAAGGGCGACAGGGCGGTCTGCTGTCGGGCGCAGTAACTTGTTAGATCATTATTTTAAAAAGTCTGACGGATTTAATAAAAGCTTTGGTAGCGTACGCATATTTCTCGACTTTGGCTTTATTTTCCGACGTTTACTAAATGAAACTGTATCGGTGTTATTCTTTATTAAAATCATATACAGCGTAGTAATTTTGCTGATTGAATTTAAAGCTTCAATAGATTTAACCTTGAAATGAAGCACACTATCAATTTTTATGCAATAATTCAAAATTTGTTTCCAGCTCAGAGTACAAGAAGAATTTTTAAAAATTTCAGACTATCATTATAGAATCCTTGAATTAAATGAATTCGTATCTACTAATTAGTAAATCTACAAATTTTAATACATTATTTAAAATCTGTATGTTATACTTTCACTACGAACGTTCATAATGATATCAAACCACACAGTTTACAATAAAAAATTGTAGATTAGAATAAAACAGATTTATTTTATTATTTATTTGAAGATCTCTTTAATTTTTCACTAAAATCTAGTTTCATTTTACTTCGTACATTTACGTGTACATGAGAAGTCGTTACACGATTCCTTTGATATCATCGTATAGAATTCTTCGAACTTTTTATTTATTTATTTGAATAAAAGCTTCGTGTGATCAGTGAGTCACTGAAGGTTCCTTGATTTTCTTTATCAGTTCAATTGGCACGCGGTACCAGAACGGGAGAAAAAGAGGCACAAGAATCCCGCGGAGCCCGTTTGGTCGCCGACCATGGCCGGTGGCCTCTTTTCGATAGATCGAGCTTTCTTTGACCGCCTCGGCACGTACGACAGCGGTTTCGACATTTGGGGCGGCGAAAATCTCGAGCTTTCGTTCAAGACCTGGATGTGCGGAGGTATGTTCACGCTATGGTAAAAACTGTTCCCAAGAAATTGCCAGAAATGGAATAAGCAGAGCTTTCTCGTGGAAAAGCTTTTGCTTTGAGAACGTACGATGTTCTTTATGATTAAAGAAAAATAGGTTGGATCAGGAATTTTCAATGAACAAGAGTGCACACTATCTTGATTTCAAACCTTAGAAAATATGACGCTCGTTTCCTCTTTCAAGAATTTTAGACTTGTCTTTTGTGTTATTATCTGATACATTTGATAATTACAGTTCGGAAAATCGTAGTTATATAAACTACATTTATTATAGTTCGTTCAGTATTATAAACATTTTGCATGCATCCTTGTAGCGTAGGTGTATAGAAGAAAATCGTAATCTAAATTAATTGCAATAATTCTTACGACGGTAAGATAATCAAAATGATTCAATTGATCAATGTTCGCGTATACGTTAAATTGAAAAGCATTAATTACCCGTAAATATGAAGTATGCATTAAGTTTCATCTGAATCATTTATTTTCTCAATACTTCGAAATAATTTTACGTCACTACCATAACAAACTAAACAGAATAAATTAACACCATCATCATATTGAAATCATTTCTCAATATTCTCCAAAAATAAATTAACACCATTATCATATTGAAATCACTTCTCAATATTCCCCAAAAATAAATTAACACCACTATCATATCAAAATCATTTATTTCTTCAAAATACATTTGTAGCACCATCATAATAAACTAAATAAAATAAATGAACACCTCATCTATCACACCAAAATCATTTATTTCTCACTGTGCCCCAAATATAAATCGACACCACCATCATAATAAACTGAATACAATAAATAAATACCTCATCTATCATATCAAAATCATTTATTTCTTCAAAATACATTTTTGGCACCATCATAATAAACTAAATAAAATAAATGAACACCTCGTCTATCATACCAAAATCATTTATTTCTCACTGTCCCCCAAATATATATTGACACCACCATCATAATAAACTGAATACAATAAATAAATACCTCATCTATCATATCAAAATCATTTATTTCTTCAAAATACATTTTTGGCACCATCATAATAAACTAAATAAAATAAATGAACACCTCATCTATCACACCAAAATCATTTATTTCTCACTGTGCCCCAAATATAAATCGACACCACCATCATAATAAACTAAATACAATAAATAAATACCTCATCTATCATATCAAAATCATTTACTTCTTCACTATCCCCCAAAAACAAATGGAAACCAATATCACAGCAAACCGCCCATACAACCCTTTCAACGGCCAATAACGCTCTCCCTTCTCGCCGACCGAATTCCCCCACCTTCCTCCGCTTCCGGAAGTGGCGGGGTACCGGTCGCCAACCGCGGAAAGCTTAAATCCCCCGGAACGGTTCCGGGATCATCGTGGATCGAGTATACAGACCGGCCCCGTTACCTGCGGACTAAAGTTGTTTCCCCGGCAATCAGCCGTTTCGTCAGTCCGTGGCGAACGAATGAAATTTCGACTTGCGGTCCCAGGTACTCTGGAGATCGTGCCGTGCTCGCACGTGGGCCACATCTTCCGGAAACGTTCGCCGTACAAGTGGCGTAGCGGCGTGAACGTGCTCAAGAGGAACAGCATAAGGCTGAGCGAAGTGTGGCTAGACGAGTACGCCAAGTACTACTACCAGAGGATAGGTCACGACAAGGTGAGCACTTCTGCTTTGAGTAACCTTTTTCAGAACGCCCGTCCACCCACCACCTCGTCCCAGACTCGTCATCTTGGTTTTACTTCCGACAGCTTCCTCGAGACGGATTATGCTGAAGCGACTCGCACGCTTTCTGTCTCGGGGCTATACGAGATAAATCGCGAGGGAAAGGAGATTGCCGAGGAATAAAACGCATTGATTAGTTGAATTTCGGGAATGGGGATTTTAGCGAGTTCCTCGAGATGGATTAGGTTGAAAAAGGAATTATGAGGAATGAAGAGAATTGATGGTTAGTTAATTGAATTTGGGGAACTGGGGATTTTAGCGAGTTCCTCGAGACGGATTAGGTTGAAAAAGGAATTACGAGGAATGAAGAGAATTGATGGTTAGTTAATTGAATTTGGGGAACTGGGGTTGTTTAGCAGGTTCCTCGAGATGGATTAGGTTGAAAAAGGAATTATGAGGAATGAGGGAAATTGACGACTAGTTATTTGAATCTATAAAACTGGAGATGTTTATCAGCGGCCATTGTATCTTGATTCAATTATATTTTAGTGTGGTAATCTTGTAGTTTATTTAAAAACTTTTGACATCTGTTGAAATTTGAAATTATATGTTGCATTTCATATGATTGTGACATTAGGAGGTAGTATAAAGAAAATTGTTGAAGTATATAACGATTACAACAAAACAGAGTATCCATCAACTTCAACACAGATTACTCCACCAACAGTGATCTAAAATATTATATTCTCTATATTAAAACCGGCAAATGAACAAATATCAGTGAACAACAAACCAGACAACTTATTCGATAATTAAATTATTCTTCAGCTACCATCGGTTCGAAATGTCCAAGAACAAATCTCTATCATCAAACAAACTAGAACAAACATAAAACAGCTCAATACCCCACACAACCTACGACACCATAACATTAAATTATCCAAATCCTTCAAAGTTTCATTTACCAACCTCTCTCCGTCACCATCTCAAAACTCCATACTCATCCTCTATAAATTACTGATCCCACAAGCAATCAGCAAACATTCCCCCAAGTTATTGCCTCGGACGCAGCGGAAAATTTCAGTTGCCATTTCCACGTCCAGAAAAGAGTTCTAATTGCGCGGAAGTCGATCATAACTCCTCCGTTAAGTCGTGCTTTGAATCTCCGGATCCGGGGACATTCCCTTTTTTCGAGTGGTTCGTTAAACGTATCTCGGCCTCATTATACGCTTCCTGCGAGGGGTGGTCGTGACGGCACTCGTGTTTCCATTTGCGTGTGATTTTATTGGCGGTCCGCTAGAGCACACGTTCGACGGAACGGTTACGATAAGAAATGACTATAACCGGGCCCGATGATGGAGAATACCGTAGACCGAGACTCCTCGTAAAAAGAGCGGGGCAGAGGGAGCTATAAACGTGGCAAGCACTCCTCGGGATCGCTCGCGTGTCCCGGCGTTCCCTTGAAAGACGCTTCTTTTATCCACGGTCATAACGATCCATCCTTTATCCTGGCAGCTTGTCCTCCCGGAACGGGATCCGATCGAGCGACTGGAATGATAGGATAAAAATAAATCGTTTCCCCTTCGCGTACGTCAAATTATATTGCCGGAACAAGTGGCACTCTCTGGTCCTCCTTCGGGGATCTCCTTTAAAAGCAGTCTCGCGCGGACATTATGTCTCGAATCAGGGCTGACAAATAGACGATCGGAACGGTCGGACGTGTTAGTGACGTTTGTCCTGATTCTCCGAATGGGATACAAGCTTGCTGCGGATGTTTATGACTTGGGGAACCTTTGCGGAAGCACGGGGTGGGCGTTCCGAGGGGATTTTATTGGTTTTGTGTTACTTTTCCGGAGAGATTTTGGGAAATGAATGAATGTTTCTAATCGGTGAGTGTGATATGATAAAGGGGGATTGAGTATTGTTGAATAGAATTATTTGAAGCTTGGTGCAAGTTAATTTAATGACGAGGCACTTTGTTTGATGATTTAGTGAATGGATTTGAATGTTCTGTTAAAAATACGGAGATTTTTAATTATTGTTTATAGTATTCTAAGATAAATGAAGTTAGTGATTTATAATATACAAAGTAATTCTTTTCATACTTATAAAATTCTGTTTTCAATGTTCGAAGATTTTAAATATTGCCTATTGTTAGAATAATTTTCATTATTGTATATTAATCGTATGTTTATGATGAGTAATAATTTTGTCAAAGAAATTCCCTATTAATTGGTCATTTACTCGCACCAGCCAGTACAATTTTACTCGTCATTCTCACTCATTGCCCATCGTTCGACTAAAACTCACCCCTCCGGCGCCGCCACGTATCAAAAGGAACTTCGTGACACCCCTTACACGACTGTCCGAAGATTGCCCAAAGATTCGCCGCGCATCGGCCACATAAATCGTCCTTTCACCCCGAACAAGTATCCCCATTATTCCACTTCGAGGCTCTAAACTCGAGTCCATAAAAGGCACCGTGTGTTTCTGTGCTCGCCCTTTATTTCTTCCTCGGGTTTCCAGCTACCGTCCTTTTCCTCCCACCCTTTTACGATTATATCTGCTATCCTGTTCCCGTGCCTTTAAATCCGTGCTCCCGGAAACGACGTTCTCGTATTTCCATTCTACCCTATAGAATTCACCCCCTAGCTCCTAATCCGGACCTTCAAATCTTAGCTAATCCGCCGCCATGTTTCTCCCCTTTATTCGATCAAAAATTTCTGGATTTGTAATTCACAGTTTATAGAAAAATTATAGTGATTTATTGGAATATGCAGGATAAGGAAAATATAGATCCTAACCTATAATTTAGATCTTCAGAACTTGGCCAATTCACCACTATGTCCCTGTTGTTTACTGGATAAAAAATTTCTGAATTTGTAATTCAAAATTTATAGAAAAATTATAGTGATTTATTGGAATATGCA